CGTTTCACCTAAAATACCTTGTATTACTCTGTACTGATCGTCACAACGTGGGTGCAAATTTAACACTAAATAGGAGTAAGGATTTTTTGTAGCCTTTTTATAAGCGTCGGGAAGGAAGCGTGATTTGTTCGGGAAAACTTGTCTGCTTAAGTAATTAATTTGTGAAGCAAACGTTGGCGACTTCATAATTACTGTGTAATGGGTATTTAATCTCATGGTTTTACCGTGTTTACCTTGCGGGAATAAATTTTGGGTTAAAATTATTACAGAGACTGATTTGTGATGTGACCCCTTTGTAAGTAGTTGGTGAATTTTTTCGCTTTGAACAGCGTCATTCATTTGATCGTCAATTACAATAATATTATTGATATCCGGATTAAATTCCTCCAGATCGAATTCCAAGCCTTTGATTAGTTCGACATGAGGTAATTTTGACACTAATTCTCTATACGCTTCTTGTTCCTCTGTGAAGCATATTACAACCCTATCTGGTGCTGGAGTGACAATCTTATTTGAATTTAGCAACAAGGATTTTAAAAATTGTGTCTTGCCTGATTGCGTAATTCCCGAAATACTCATAGAAAAAGGATGCAACAACTGAAATGTATTACCGTGGTCAATTTCCATTGTTATGCTTAAAGGATCTTTTTCTGAAATGAACTGTCACGACTGAGATTCCTTTGGTGAAATGGATTTCTTCTCCATATTCATTGCATAGCAATATTTCGATGGTGTCGAATTCCAACTTACTGATTGGTAAATAATATGGACGAAACGTTTGCGTTACGGTTTGACCTTCACGACCTGTGATATCCACGATTCGTAATAGAGGAACTAGACTGTCACCAACAATTTGAGGTTGTACAAAATCACAATAGACGAACATATGGTACATACTCCCGAAACAATCAGGTGGATTTGTAGCAGTATTTTTTCCAGTCAATTTTATAATATCGGGAAAACCCAGACAATTTGACAATAAGGACGATAGTTGAATTTCACTGTGTTCAGCGTTTACCGATACACGATTTACCTCAGAATCGTAGTTGAAAGTGGTAATCTGCTTCCCGCTTTCGACTTGAAGTGCTTTATTTAATTCTGTACATAATGTAACTATGGATGAATAATTTAGATTCGGTAATACATAGGTACCTCGCCAGTGCGGTTCTAAAACCCCAGTAAAAATTTCACGCTCGCTAACAAGGGTACGAAAACGAATTAGTCTATCGCTATCTCGCAAAAACGTTTTCATTGAGTGATTATATGTTAATTCTGTTAGAGCAACTTCGTATTCGTCAGGTAAAAATTGAAAACGTTTCGGTAATTTTACCTTAAAGGAAGAAATTCTGTTATCTGGAAAGTAAAGAGGGCTAACGTTTGAGGGTAGGAATATATAGAAGGACATTTTGTCGAGAGTTCAGAGTTCCATAAAGCTTTAAACTATTAATGAAGACATTTTGAGGATATGTCCTCATATTTATATCGTTGCTCGTAGCTTACAGATATATTGTGTCGAATCGTCGCTTATGAAAAGATCATAATTGTAGTGTACTAACTAAGGCGCAAAATGAAACGTCTGCACATATTTGATCATTCCGAATATTATAAGGCTCTACACGAACAAATTGGAAATGGAATCCCGGTATTTAACGGCTATCGACAGAAGGGTGGTGGTTTAGGAGGTATATTAGGATATATAGGTCGATATGCGCTGCCTCTTTTAAATAAATATATTCTTCCGCATGCTAAAAATGCTCTTATTAACACTATTTCTGATGTGACGAGCGGTGTACCTCTAAAGAGCTCAATTAAATCAAACGCAACGAGTTTGTTAAATAACGTTGGTAATCATATAGCTGGTCGTCAAGCGGGAGGCAACATGGTAAGAACAAAGCGAGTAAAATCTAGTTCCATAAGTTCATTACCGCTTAGGTCGCCGGCAAAGAAACATTGCTCGGTTGTTAGATCGAAACAAACCAAGGGTTATAATAAGAAAAGAAATAATAAAATCAAGAAAATATCTAAAACTAAGACATCAAATAGAGCCAAGCCAAGAAGCAGAAGTGATATTTTTGGATAATGGCGATGATTAACAAAATATTCAAGTCCATCAATTCGCGGGCAAGCCGATCTTTTCAGTTTGCCTGCGACCGATACCACCGTCGAATCAAGCTTTTTCGCCGAATATAAACCAGTGGTTAATATTCAGGATAGCGACGCTAAGATAGAATTCAGAATTGTAGGAAATTCTTCACAGTACTTAGATTTATTCGATCATTTTTGCTATTTCCGTGTAAAAATAATCTGCGGGGACGGAAAAGATCTACCTGCCGATGCTGACGTTAGTACAGCAAATTTGTTCATGCATTCACTCTTTACGAATTGTGATGTTAGTATCAATCAACAATTGGTGTCTACAAGTAATAATTGTTACATGTACAAGGCATATATGGAAACTCTATTGACGTTTGGAAGGGACTACATTAATTCTCAGGGAACTTGTCCCTTATTTATCTTAGATACCGAGGAAGGAAAACTGGATAAAGCAAACACTGGATATGAGGGAAGAAAAAAATATATCGCATCCTCGAGCCCTCTCGAGCTAATTGATAAATTAAAATTTGATTTGTCCTATCAACAACGTTATATATTAAATGACACCACTTAGCTTAACACGGGCCACAGAACTGTTCTCATTACTTTACCCAGGACCTAAAAGTGGGGATCCTGATCTGAACCCAAAGATAAAATTTTTGGATGCAAGTTTATTTGTAAGAAAACATGTCCTTTATCCTAGTATCGTCCTCTCTCATCAAAAACTCTTAGATAGTGGCCACAGTGCCAGATATCGTTTTAAAAAATCTGATGTAAAATTCTTTTCAATTCCGAAATCGAGTCAATCCTTCATTGAAGAAAATGTTTTCATGAGCACTGTTCCGTCCAGAATTATATTGTGTCTCGTCCCTAGTTCGGGTTTTATTGGCGATTATAAAATTAATCCTTTTGTGTTTAAGAATTATAAAATTAATTTTATTTCCTTGTCGGTAAATAATGTACCAATCCCAATTAGAGGTTTAAATCTCGATTTCGATAATAATGCGTATTTACTACAGTATTATATGCTATTTTGTTCGCTTGGAATTGCCGGACAAGATCAAGGATTAACATTTGACCGGAAGAAGTTTGCTGAAATGTTTACATTTTTTGCTTTCGAGATAAACCATAGTGCGGATTCGACGTTACATTTAGAAAAAACTGGGTCAGTACGAGTAGAAATAAAATTCGCCTCAGCAGTTCCAGAAGCAGTTAATTGCTTAGTATACTCTGAGCATCAACGTGTTCTCGAAATAGATAAGTTTCGTCAAATCAGCGTCCAGTAATGGATTCATATCAACTAAGATATGCCCTGCTTTGTTCCATCGAGGGTTTTACGGCTGTGTGTGCAATAGATCAGTTAAAATTAATCAAAGAAGACTCTTTCTCAGTTATCTGTAATAATCAAACATCCACCGAACCTGGAATGCACTGGGTTTGGTTCAGGAAAAGTAAAGGTACCGACCTTGTTGAATATTTCGATAGCTTTGCATTGCCAATAAATATGTACCCCAAACGTATGTTGTCGTTCTGTCGTGAGCATGGTAAAAGTATAAAGTATTCTCAAATCCAATATCAGTCGAATTTTAGCGATGCATGTGGTGATTATTGCTTAAGTTTCTTAATTAAAAGATCTATGGCATACACCTACGAAGATATCGTAAATGAATTTTCAGAAACACAACTCACCAGTAATGATAACCTTGTAAAGCAATTTGTGGCGATAAACTTTAAATTCCCTTCATTTTCTAATTGTGAGCAAGTTTGTCAGAAAGAGTGCATGAAACGTGGGATTGACTTAAACGGTGTGTGTACTCAAACCAGTAAACATTGCACGAAAATATTTAGTAGGCTAAAAGTTCACTAACAATGTCTTTCGAAAAGTTAAATGAAATTTATTTCGATCCTGCGAACCCCGGAAGTTTCGGTGGTCCGGAACGACTCTCTAAAGTTGCTCATATTTCATTGCAGAAGGCGAAAGAGTTTTTGCAAGGCCACCAAACATATACAAGGAATAAGTACGTTCGTCACAAATTTCCAAGACGCAAGATTGTTGTACCGTCAATTGACTATTTATGGCAAGGTGATTTGATTACTGTTACGAAATTTAGCAGAAAAAATAAGGGTATAAAATTCTTACTAACCGTAATCGACGTATTAAGCCGTTATGCATTTGTTAGACCGTTGTCAAATAAAACCTGCTCCGTCGTAGCGAAAGCATTTCAAGATATTTTAGACACCAGTGGTCGTAAATGTAAATATCTTCAAACGGACCGAGGTCTTGAGTTTAGAGGTGCAGCCTTTCTCAAAATATTAGATATGAATAAAATAAACTTGTTTCATAATCATTCCGAACTCAAAGCTGCCATGATAGAAAGATTTAATAGAACACTAATGCTTCGTCTGAATAAGTTTTTCACATTTACAAATGATACGAAATACATAGACAATTTACAAGACTTTGTACAATCCTATAATTCTTCAGTGCATAGGTCCATAAACTGTCGACCAAAAGATGTAAAGCCTTCCAATCAATTTAATGTTTGGATGAAGAGTTACGAGGATTTGCAGAAGTCAAAGCCGTCTACTCCTAAATTTCGAATCGGACAGTATGTTAGAATTAAGATTCAAAAAGCAACATTCGAGAAAGGTTGCGCTTCGACGTTCACCACTGACTTGTTCAAAATTCGAGAAATCGTAAACAGCATACCTGTGACATATAAGTTAAGTGATAATACAGGGGAAATAATTTTAGGTGTATTTTATCCTGAGGAATTATCTCTCGTAAAAATTTGAAAGTTCCCGAAAAAGTTTCTCGGAAACCTCTGAATTATGAGGCTTATAATTTTTTTTTTAAACTAGCATTTCCGAACCGGTTTTGAAAATGAAATAAGCAGCAATAAATAAACATAAAATACATAAAAAAAATATCCGAATAAAAATATAAATAGAGGCAATAGTATTTAAGGAGAAAATTTGCGAGTATTATCCGCATTTGTTCGCTGAGTTCGAACCTATTCACAAGTCTATAAGATGGAAAACAATCTGAAGGACTTAGCCTCAGACGACGAAAAAATTACATCTGAACAAGTGCCTGAAGATGCGCCTGTTTCTGCAAATGAGCGACCCAAGCGTGGTAAGCCCGATCTGGATGGGAAAGCCGGTTCTTCGAGTAAACCGTCGACTGCTCAGAAACTCAAAAAGTTCATCTGTAAAAGAAGGAAAATCGAAAAATCTTCACAAGCTCCGTTAGCATCAGGTACTTATGTTTTTCATAGGAAGAATTTTTCCGAATCATTGCTTGGCTAAGGATCGTATATTCATATGTAGGTGTTGAATTTTCATCGTCTGGAACATCTTCATCGTCGGCATCATCATCCGACAACGAAGGGGCTCATGGAACAGACCTTACCGCAGTTTGTGGTATGAGCAAAATTATGCCAAAGCCATTTTTCAAGCCAAGGTTGGGTTACAGATGTACAGAATACTATAATAATCATGTGAGATTCCGAGGGCACTATTTACATGAATTACTTAATTTTTTGAACGAAATACCGAAAATTTATGAAACCCAACTTCCTACACAAACTGCTCCGCTCAAATATTAAAAACTTTGTAAAGGCTTAGAATAATTAGTTAATATTTGTAAATGCAGATCTTATGGACCACCTTTTTCCAGATCATTTGCTAAATGGTTGTATCGTGTTTAATAAGGGGTTCGGAGGAAAGTCTTACTTGCAATGTACGACAATCGGTGAAGAAATTACCATCACCATTGGCGGAAATTCGCTTTTTGAGTTCATTTTAATGAACAGAAGTCAGTTTGGCGAGTTTTTGAAAGTGTTGAATGAAATGAAAATCGAGTGTCACAATCTCTTCGATTTGGACGGACCTTTAGACTTAACTACTAGACAATAGGATTTTAGTTAAATATGAATAAAATGTTTCCTGCACACACAAAAATTGTTCAATCTTATTTATTTCTAGGTGATAACGACGGGAAACCTGACGGTATCACTAACGCTCAAAAGGTCTTTTTCGCAGTATTCGGAATTTCACCTACACCAAAACCTGCCGGCACTAATCAAATCGGTTGGCCCGATAGAGGATTCGAACTTAGTGACCAGGGTGCATTTGTGAGGAAAGACTATTTTGTAATGTGCACACTGAAATATTGGTATACCGAAATCCCGAAAATTTTGAAAAGGAACTTTAAGATCATAAAGAAATGCAATTATGAGAAACAAGCTTTCATACAAGCCAAAAACAATGTTCATATTCCCACATTTGATTTTACCGGCGTATTAATGGTTTCTAAGCACTACATGGATTAATAAAAACACAAAATTGTTTAAAAAACAGAGGAACAAAATGTCTGCACCGTGTTTTTATTCGAGCGTATATATTGACATCGCATCGTAATTTATAGAAATAAAACAATATGAATTTGGCCACCCATGGTCCATTTTCCCAGCGGCCCGCAAGGGCCGCTGGGAAAATGGACCAGTGGTGGCCAAATTCACAGCAGCATGAGCATTTAAAGCAGGAAAACAAAAATTTCTAAAATTGCAAAGATCGACAACTTTAAGCATAAAAAATGAGGCCACAAAGACGAGGAACCCTTAGCGAGGTATGTGTGCGATACCAAGGAGTAAATTTTCCGGCTAGACATTTGCACCACCACTTGGCAAACATTCGCTTAATTGACTCTCAAAATCACCCCATCTGATACAGCAGCCCTTAGTATATATGTATGCATTATTTGCAGCCTTCTTCATTGCTTCACTATTCGGTGTAGGTTAAGCATAGTTTAATTGGTGCCACAAAAACTTAATTGTATTTAAGTTTAAAATTTTTACATTTATACTATGATGATGATTTATCCGTTTAGGAATAAATAATTCGCAAAGAGTGGTGATGAATGGTCTACCCAATAACGTAGTTATGCGTCTTTAATATTTTTAGCACAGGACTTCGGACGAACAAGGGACAGCACCAAGGGACCTTATTTATACACCAATAAATTAATCAAATAAAACAATTACATTCTCACTTTGTCATAAAATATTGTATTGTTCAATTTATTATACCAAAGGGAACCAGCTGCATCAAGTAATTCTAATGGTGAAATATGCGTATGGTTATACATTTATAAGGTTGAAAAAGTGAATTCTTTAGTTACTTAGATCAGGTCAGAATTATTTAGGATGCAATCATAATTTAATTAATACAAAATAAATATTTAAGGTAGATTATTTGTACACAAAAGCATAAATCGTATGTTGAATATATTCTTAGGAATGTGTAAACTAAAAAAAACAGGTGAATCTTACAAAAGATCTTATTTGTAATCAAGGGTATAGTTATATCATCCAACCAAACAAAATTCCAGAACTAAGAATCGCATTATTTTTTGCAAGGACTGTTAGTTAAAATGTATTGCATAATACCGAAAGAGAGAGTACACTAAATTAATCAAAATACAATTATTTATTATTATGGCTGAGCATGCAGGGTTTGCTTCTTTATTCCATCTTAGACACCCGTTGATGCTTGTTCGCAATGGACAGCGGCATCATTCGCTGCTTTCTCCTGCGCCAATTTATCAATGTATCTCTTGCACATCTTTTTTACCTTAGAATACAAAAAGCAAGCCCAGCTTGGAACGATTAGAATGAGAAGCAAGGTTATAATTATATATTGCATGGTCAGCAACTCCTTGCACGAGACCTGGTCTTTTCCTGCCGCACCCACACCCCTGGCACCAAAGCCAGCTCCCACCATCGGAGCCCATGGTCCAAGCCTATACTTAAAAGCAAAACAAAGAAGAACGCCATAGCTAGTGAGGCTGCTAAACAGAGGTGTAATTAGAGGCAACCAATCTGGGATACCGCTATCATCGGTTCGGGGCTGTTGACTGGGTCGCCAATTGTTGTCCAGCACATCCTCCGCCGACAGGAATTTCATACCCTTGAAGCTCGCTTTCAAGGTAGGGACCCAGTTGTCGAGATCGCTGATCTGTACTGGGGCAGTGTGTTCCAGTGAGAATGGGACGAAAGGTTTTTTGCACGATTTGGATTTGGCTGCCCACATTATTTTCTGAGAATTCCTCGGGAGGAATTACCATTCCATTTCTTCATCAGAGCTACGTTGTAATTTCTCCTTAATTTCTTCTAATCTTCCTTCTAAAGCCGCTGGGGGAACAAACCCCAGCGGTAGCAGTCCGTTTCTGCATTCAGAAACTGCCTGCGAGTGGATATGAAAAAGGGTCTGATAATGCATTACACTATATTGAAGTATAATTGACGCTAAAAACACGTGATCCGTGGAACTTGTGGATCTTGGAAAACCATGCAAAGATCCTACTGCTTCACTAATCATGTTGCCTGCAGTTTTTTCTGTTGAAACAAGTTCTGATTCTAAATTTGGAATGTCGAGAAAATATTTCCAGGAGTTTGGCAGGGCTGCTCGCACCACTATTCTCCAACCCGAATTAGACTCGAGTTGTACCTATATCCATTAATCCCCTTGAAGGTAAATTGCTTTTCGAGTGTTTCGAAAAGCTGAGAGACACCGACAACGGCTTTGTTCATGGGGATAAGTAGATCACAAATGGGGTTGTCTTGTGCTCGGCATGGAACAACCCGAAGCTTTGGAGCGTCCGGAAGATCTGGGATGAGGAACAGTATTTCTTGCTTATCCGAGTAGACACGAGCATCTTCAATCTCCCGGATAACAGCGGACGGGCCAACCCAAACACTGGAGTCGGCTGGGCTCGTCCAACAGGGAGGTAGTAGCATGATGGCGACGAAAGCGGCGAAAGAGACACGACCAGCCATGGTCTGACTTGATACTTCCAGGCTCAGGGAAAGTTTCCACGCGTTTTCTAAAAAAAAGCACAAATATACATATGTAAGGCGAAAATTAAAGACGCAAAAAGTATTTCGTCGCTTTAGGTCGATCAGGTTGCAGGAAAAAATAAATTGAAACCATATAATGTTTAGAAGAAAGCTAATAATAAAATTCCATCACTGAAAACTTTAGCTTTCTAGCTCTTTAAAGATCTTGCATAATGACTACTCTATACTATCTGGTAATTAATTCATATTTAAATTTCATCCATATGATTTGAAATTTAAAATGGGCATGTAGAAATTTATTCCAAAATAATGGTCCGTTTCGATCGGTATGAGTGTTCGAAATAAAAACCTTTAAAAAACATGGTTATCTATTTTTAAGATTAGTATCGATCGGAAGGGTAATTGATTTTATATTATGACTACAAATATATTTATGCATATTCATATAAAATTTCAAATCATCTGTATAAAATTTAAATTTGCATTAAGCAAAAAACCATGCCAAAATAAACCAGTATGCTTTGTACATGAATGTGCTCTTGACCAACAAACTAAACAGGAAAATTACTAAAGACCCAAGAAGTTTACTTTGGTACAACGTTTAAATGGCACTTACCTTTCAAAGACGATATAGCAGATCCAAATACGGATGTAATCGGTATTGTTCCTGTGGGATTAAGTTTACAAAATTAACTAAGTAAATAACAGACGACCCGACACAGTCAGTAATTGCTATTGCAAAATATTACATGTAATTGGTAATTAGTAGTTGAAGTAATTAATAATTTTATATTTAAGCTAATTCGTAATTGAATGAATGTTGGAAATGTGATTAAACGTCGGACTTTGCTTACCAAGGAATAAGGCCAGCTCGGGCAGTTAGAGGGACGCGAGAGAGGAATTAAATTCGACTGGACAGCTCAAAGACTTGCGAAGGACTAATAGCACTGGATATTTATGACGTGCACAAAAAGACATGTGAAGCATGTCACGCCCGTTTCCAGCCCCCCGAGCGTAACGTGTGCAGCAAAATAAACAATGCATAACAATGCACAAACTTGTACACGCACTCCAGTGAATGGTTACTAATTCACTGGAGTGGGTTCGGAGTTATTCAGAGTTCAATGACTCAAATGACTCACTGTATGAAGCTCACTCGGTATCTCTCCAGTGACTCAAAGTACACAGCTCTCAGGTTATCACTCTGGTCACCGGAGTGAAACCCTCTGAGCTGGGTACTTTGAGTCACTGGAGAGATACCGAGTGAACTGTGTAGTTTGAGTCACTGCAAAGATACCGACTGAGCTGTGCACTTTAAGTCACCAGAGACCGGTGACCAGAGTTGGGTAACTTCGTGTTTTTTTTTGTTCCGGATTAGGGATTAGTGATTAGTTTCTACGGATTATTTGATTAGATTTGAATTAGAATTGGTTCATTTTTCTGGTATTGAATTTTTCAGGGACTAGTTTTTAGAAGAACAGTATAGAATAAAGATAATGGAATTATCCGCAATACTTCTTTGGTTAAGGATTAGTTTTAATTTATCGAGTCTCAAACGTGATGGGTGTAATAAAACCTGAAGCAAATAGCATTAAGCTTGGCAAATTGGAAAATACAACGAATAAATACACATTTATTCTTTATATTAATAGGGTTTCAATGTATTTCCTGTGTAAAATAAACGGCTCGTCGGCTGGATTCACGCTTAAAGATTCAATATTGCTGAAGTTTCACATTTATGAACTATAGTGACTTCATATTTAATTTATTTTCCCTAGTGACAATTATCTTCTACTTTAGACGATTGAAAGAAGTTTCAGCATTGAAAGTTTAATTGGGAAGAGGTACATAGATCTAGCATGACAATACTAATGCGATGTAGGTCAATTTATTGACATTGATTTTTGCTTTGGTTTATTATAAAAATAGAAATGTTGCAGTCAAATTTTTGTGAAGCTGAACCAGGAGAATAATACCGAGAGACAAAGAGCTGGCAATACATGCGCGACCATAGAATTATTTAGCAGAAAATGTAATCCCTAAACGTGAGTAGTTTTTGGTTAAGGCTTACATACTTTCAAATTTTCTGTCGGGAATAGGATTAGTTCGACAAAAATTGAATTGCGGATTAACGATTATAGATTAGTTTCAAAATTAGGTCTTCACTGGATCAGGGCTTAGGAATTAGTCAATTCTAATCCGGATTACTAATTACCAATCCCTAGATCCTATTTTTCCCAACTCTGCCGGTGACTCACAATTTAAAGTCAAATAATTTGACTTTAATCTAATCGAACCTAAGACTTAAAGTTCATAGTGTACATAGTATTGCACTACATCATATCAAACCACCACTACGTTGTATGTCAGCCCATTTGATTTCATGTACC